TCTCCACCTGTCTTCACATCATCTTCTCTGTGTATGTGGTCTCCTCTTCTGTCTGTATCAGATCTTCCTCTACATGGCGAACCTTTTGAGCTCGGCGTGTCAGCATTTTGAAAAACCCTAACTTAACTCTGGTGCCGTGTCACATAGAGAAATTTTTTGATATTTGCAACCATAGTAAAAGAAAGATTTATATTTTTGATATTTATTTTATATATATAAACTCCATTTAACAAAGAAAAATCAACCAAAAAAATGAGTTTGCTTGTCACCTCTGACATGCGTGTCATAGGTTCGCCATCACTGCTCTACTGTTCTAAGGCCATTTGTGATTGCATTTAGGTCCCATCTCTGCATCTCACGATCGTTAACTTAATTATACCTGCAAATACCCTTTTTCCTTATAAAGTGACATTTACAGGTTCCAGGGATTAGGGACTGATATGTTTGGGCGACTCTTAATTCAGCCTACTACAGGGGTGTTCTTGTTTCCCTTCCAGGGAGGGGATAGGAACGAATTCAGTGCTCTCCTACTGGACAGAATCCTGTAATATTTGAGTCTTCTCAGTATCTCTGTTATTGGGAGACTTGTTATCCCATTTCACAGATTGGAAAACTGGCTCAGAGCAGGTCATCACATGGCTAATAATTGGAGCTGGATCGGAACCTAAGTCAGTTGGGTCCCACAGTCTTTTGCAACTTTTCTTGGGTCTTTGTAGCAGTAGGTTGCAGAGTCTTACACCTGGGATCCCCTGTTGTCAGAGGGTTTTGCCCAGCCCCTTTGTGGAGGCTCAGAGATGTGGATGGACTTGCCCACAGGCTTATTAGTGGGCTTGCAAGATTGAGGGTCTGGACTTGACTTCCTTGGGCCAGGACATTAATGTAGTGTAAACTTCTCTATGGCTGGGCCAGCCCCCACCCTCTGCCCCTCACTCCCACCAGCCTGTCCTTTCCGGGCCATTTTCCTAAGCAACTTCCAAGTTGGCACCTTTTTTGGAGGCTCCTGTCCAGCTGGGATAAGACACAGACTTTGCTATGAGCTCCTGGGACTGTATAAACTCTTTCTAGAACTCAGGACCAGGATCTCCCTATTTTCTCTCCCCACAGAGAGAGAGAGAAAGGGGTTTCAGCCAGAGCCCAGGATCTTAAGGCTGCTGGTGCCAAAGCCAGTGGGTGGTTAGTGGCTAGGCCTCCACATCCAGGCACAGATGCCACACTGGCTGCCTAGGACTAAAGCCCTGCTTGTGCAAAGGGAATGCTCAGGCCTCCTTCATGTTTAGGGATAAAGCAGGCTTTCCCCAGCATGGCCTGCTAAGTTTGTCTCCATGCTATGGCTCATGAGGCCTCCCCTGTTGCTTCTATACTAGGCCTTGTTGGTGCCCAAACCCCAGCTCTTTTCTGCCTTCATAAAATGAGGATAATGCTTCCTGCCATCTGGGCTGTGGTACAATTAAGAGGTCACCTTTTGCATCTGGCACCTGGCATGAGGCAGGCATTTGGCTAATATGAGTTCATCTTTCTTCCTGGCCCTGCCCCGCTTACCTTCATAGCCCTACCCAGGACTTGAGCTCGGCTGAACTCATTGCTGGCCTGTGGCCTCCCTGGTGCTTTGTGGCAGAAGTAATTTCTTATCCAATTCACAAGCTTTTCTGGAGGTCTTGGTGTTTTAATCCTTTGCTCAGGTGGAACCTCCTCTCGGGTGCCAGCCTTAATGACTGGCCAGGTCGCTTCCTCCATGTTCTCCAGCATCCCTGTGTTCATCTCTTTCACAGCCCTGCTCACACTTGTGTGTAGTCACTGCCTGTTTCCCTGCCCCTTACGCAGTTTGTGAGCTGATGGACGGTAGAGAGCAAGTCTGATTCATTTCTCTGGCCTCCTTGCCAGCCCAAGGTCTGACTTAGCAGCTGCCTGGTAACCCTTTACTGGATAAATAAATAGGAGGCCTTCTCATCCCCTTTGATCTCCTTTCCCCACACACTTAGGGCAGGCGGTTGCTGGGTGCCTTTCTTTTTTAGAACTTCTGTCCAGTCCAGTCTCAGGCTGTAGCTATAGTTGCAGCTGCTCTGCTGGAGACCCCCAGCTGGGAGATGGCTGACCCCATGGGGCAGGGATGGATTTGGGGGACTGGTTGGGGTGTGCTAGTCCATAGCCTCTGGGGCAGGAGGGGCACCTGGACTGCTGGAATGTTGTGCACAAACAAGAGTCTTTGTGCTTCCCATGGAAGCCCATTAAGGGCTTCCCAGTGCCTTTGTCATCTCTGGAAAGCCAGCCAGCCATACCTTCCCGGGGTGTGGGCCCTGGTTGTGGGGCTGCTGGGTATTCCCTTGTCGCCCCCTCTTCATCCCCTCCTGTCCAGCCACTCACCTGGGACTTTCTGAGGGTCTCTCAGTTGTACATTATCTCTGTCTGTGTTGGTCTCACACCTTCTTCTCTGACTGGTGACCACCTCCCCAGTATATGGTACAATATTTACAAAGCCTTTTCTGGCTCTGAAGCTCCTCTGATCGTCTTGACAGTTCTTTCAGGTATATCCCATAATCCCCATTTGATAGGAAACTGAGGTTGGAGTGTTCAGGTAGCTTACCCAAAATCCTGCTGCGAGTGAGAGACAGAGCTGGGGTTGGAACCCAGAGCTTTTGGCCTCCAAACCTTGTGCTTCCTATTTTGCCAGGAATTTCTCTCACTTGAGCTGGAGGGGGAAAAGGCCTGCAGAGAAGTGATCCCCTCTGGTTGGCAATTGCCTGGATCCTATAAATCCCTAAGTAGGGTGATATCCCCAAGGAGCAGGCTTGGGATTTTTGGTCCCTAGTCCTGATACTGGATCAGGCTGGCTTCTCCTGATGGCCAGCAGAGGGCGTGAGAGGCCTGGGAAAGGTGTTGCTTTTAGTTTGTTTGGTTTTGAAATGGAAAATATGTTTGAAGTGACACGTGGACATTCTACTTTTTTTAAATAGACTTCATTTTTTAGAGCACTTTTAGATTGACAGCAAAATTGAGCAGAAGGTACAGGGAGCTTCCATATACTTCCTGTCCCCGCATATACATAGCCTCCCGACTATCAACATGCCCTATCAAAATGATACATTTATTATAATTGATTGATGTATCTACATTGACACATCACACTCACCCAAAGTCCTGGCTTCTGGCAGCCCTGGGCCATTTTTTGTAAACAACTTCCAAATGTTTACATTGGGCTCACCCTTGGTTACATTCTAGAGCAGGGGTCCTCAAACTACTGCCCTCGGGCCACATGCAAATACAAATATTGTATTTGTTCCCGTTTTGTTTTTTTACTTCAAAATAAGACATGTGCAGTGTGCATAGGAATTTGTTCATAGTTTTTTTTTAAACTATAGTCCGGCCCTCCAACGGTCTGAGGGACAGTGAACTGGCCCCCTGTTTAAAAAGTTTGAGGACCCCTGTTCTAGAGGTTTGGACAAATGTATCCACTGTGGTAGTACACAGAGTAGTTTCACTGCTCTAGTAATGCTCTGTATTCTGTCTACTCATCTTTGCATTATTTTTTAAAAAAACATATTTGTACAAGTTCACTTAATCTGAACCTTTGGGGCCAAATGTGCTTTGGAAATTGAGAAAATTTTCAGAATTTAGAGAACTCACCTGGTGTGTATGCTGTTTCTGTAACACCTCCAGTGGGGTCTATGGCAGACCTCGTAATCAAACACCCGAATGTTTCTGCATGGAAATGTTTGAATATTCATCTCCAAGTGGAGTAAATGGATTCTCCTCAGCTCAGGTCAGGTAATGATGCCAAATAAGTTAGATGAAGTCTTTTGGTTTTCAAAGCTTTTTGAGTTAGGGAATTTTGGATGAGTGATTGCGTATCTCTTAGAAAGAAGGAGGTGAAGTAAAGTCACCTGCAATGCCAACACTTAGGGATAATATTTTGTTACATAGCCTTCCCAACTTTGTATGCATATGTGTTTGTATACATATGCATATACATATATGCTAAATGTGTTCACCCACAAGTAAAATCATATTTTCATACATTTTGCCTTATACAAGATCTTGGCAATCCCTAACTATATGTGAGATTCAAGATCTTACCAATCATTCCCTTCTCAACATCTCTCCTCCCCTAGAGTGGCTAGAGCAGTGGTCGGCAAACCGCGGCTCGCGAGCCACATGTGGCTCTTTGGCCCCTTGAGTGTGGCTCTTCCACAAAATTCCACGTGCAGGCGCGCACGTACAGTGCGATTGAAACTTCGTGGCCCATGCGCAGAAGTCGGTTTTCAGCCTGGGCGAGTCTATTTTGAAGAAGTGGCGTTAGAAGTGGAGGGTGTCGGTTAGTCGGGCGACGGGATACGCGGCGCAGGCGGCCACGGGATACATGCAGGAGTTGAGTGAGCCAGTCAGTCAGCAGTCTCATTGTGCAGTGGTTAGTGCTAGTCACGTCCGCAAATCGCGTGCGGGTGACAAAAGATAGCAATCAGATTGAGGATGTTTTTAGCAAAGGCCAGCTTAGGAGTACCCTAATTAAGTTAATAACAATGTACCTACCTATATAGTTTAAGTTTAAAAAATTTGGCTCTCAAAAGAAATTTCAATCGTTGTACTGTTGATATTTGGCTCTGTTGACTAATGAGTTTGCCGACCACTGGGCTAGAGGGTCCCCAGGTGAAACTACTTGAGGCAGAGCCAGCTTCCTCCCTCCAGTTCCCCATTCTTGCCAGCCCTGGGCCTCTGGCTGCCTGTGGGAAGGTCCAGCATTGGATTCCCAGCATGGTCAGCAGGAGGCAGAATGTAGCTGGGGCTCCTCTGGGAGCAAGTCTTCTGCTCACACAATGCCTGGCTCCTTAAAAGAAAGGGTCTCCTCCTGCTCCACATGCATGGAATGGTCAAACAGGGCTGAGAACTTGACCCTGTCCAGTGTCCTCTCAGCCAATCAGCTGGGCCCCTCAGGAGCTCGAGGGCAGAGCTCTGGGGAGGGGGTGCAGGCCTTTCCTGTTGCTGACCCCCACACCTCTTCCCTGCAGCAGGAACACTGGTTTGAAAAGGCCCTGCGAGACAAGAAGGGCTTCATCATCAAGCAAATGAAGGAGGACGGCGCCTGTCTCTTCCGGGCTGTAGGTGAGTCTCTGCCTCAGCCTTCAAGGGCCTAGGGCTGCCCCTGAGTGTCCCAGTTGTCAGGAGTAACCCCTGAAACGGTTCGGGACAGAGTTAACTGGTCTTTTACGGACTCCAGGCCCCAGTCTCAAGTTAGTATCTGGCCTCTAGTTCTTCGTCATGAGGCAGTGTGGTGGTGTGAGAGTAATAGCAGCAACAATAGTGACAAGGAAAATAACGTTAGGGACAGATTGCTCTGCCAGGCACTACAGGAAACTCTTGCAGTTCTTCCCTAAGCTGGGTAAGTGTCGGGACCATTGCTTCCATTTGTCAGATGAGAAAAGCAGCTCAGAGATGGAGAGTGGCTTGCCCAGGGTCAGATAGTACATGGTAAGTTAGTCTTAGGGCTAAAGGTTCGTCTGAGGGCTCTTAACCACAGCATACTACTCTCACCTTGGGATCATAGACTTTTTTTTTAACTTACACAAAAGTAGAGACAATAGTAAACCCTCATGTACCCATCATTCACCTTCAAATACGCATCAACACATGGCCAGCCCCGTTTCATCACTACCCTGCCCACTCTTTCTTACTCTCCTAAAATGAGTATTTTTTGTAACTCTTTTAAAAAATTTTTTTGATTGATTGATTGAGAGAGAGAGAGAGAGGGAAACATTAATTTGTTTTTCCACTTATTTATAGATTCGTTGGTTGATTCTTGTATGTGCCCTGACCGGGGATTAAACCTGAAACTTGGCATATTGGGATGACGCTCTAACCAACTGAGCTACCAGGCCAGAGCTGAAACAAGTATTTTTTGTTGTTGTTAATCTTCACCTGAGGATATTTTTTCCATTGCTTTTTCAGAGAGAGTGGAAGGGAGGGAGAGAGAGAGAAAGAAAAACATGGATGCGAGAGAGACAAATCAACAGGTTGCCTCCCACACACTCCCAGGACCGGGGCAAATCCACAATCCAGGTTATATGCCCTTGACTGGAATCCAGCCTGTGACCCTTTGGTGTAAGGGTTGATGATCTAACCACTGAGAACACTGGCCAAGGTGAAACGAGTATTTTTTGTAATAAGTTTTTATTTATTTTAGAGAGGAAGAAAGGGAGAGAGAGAGAAAAGCATCAATGTGAGAGAGAAATATTGATTGGCTGCCTCCTGCACACCCCCTACTGGGAATCTAGCCGGCAACCTGGGCGTGCACCCTGATTGGGAATTGAACTGGTGACCTTTCAGTGCATGGGACAATGCTCAACCAAGTCAGCCACACCAGCCAGGGCTGAAATGAGTATTTTTAAAGTAAAACCCCAACATTGGGTTATTTCATTCATAAATATTTCTGTATATTTCTCTGACAGATAAAGTCCCGGTTTCTCTCTCTCTCTCTCTCTCTCTCTCTCTCTCTCCCTCCCCCTCTTCCTCCCTCCCTCTCTCCCTCTCTCCCTCTCCACCTCTTCACCCTCTCTCTCAACATAACCAAAATGCCATTATCGTACCTAACAAAATTAATAATTCCTTAATACCATTTACTCTCCACTTTAAGCCCAACAAGCAGTCATGAGGTCCTGTGCACTATAGTGTCCAGGGGAAACGGGGAGTATGATCTCATTCTCACTTTGGGGTTCCTATATCTTCCATAAAAGTGCCCTCGATAGGAGATTTGAGCTGGTAGTCAGAAGCCCTGTCTTCTTGTCCTGCCCTCACTCGGAACTTTCATTGTCCCATCTGTGAAGTAGTATTGATTCTGAAGGGCTCCTTCAATCCCTTCTGGATGCACCCTCTTCCCCCGTGCTTGCTGGTGGGCTGGACTGGCTGACCCAGGCTCCACTCCAGGCTGTGCCACTGATTGTTCGTGTGACCTTGGGCAAGCAGCTTTCTTTATCCTGAGCTTGTTACAACCTAGTAACAGTTAAATGAGATGACTTCAGTAAATCGCTTTAGTGCCTGAGAGCATAGTAGCCCCTCATGGAACAGTAGCACTGATAAAGCCTGAATGCTATTCTCAGTGGTGCCTCAGAGTCACAGATGTTTGTTGAGTGGGTGAAAGAAAGAAGTTTAGGTGGGGTCAGGGGTCGCCTCCCCCTTTCTACTAAACAGAGGAGGTTTGGGCAGTGGCCTCTGCTGGGCTGGAAAATCCCAACCTCCCAGCCCTGGGGTTTAAGTCTGTGTTCTCCCTGGGATGTTTCCTAGAGAAAGATTTTAGGTTTGGAGTCATTGGACCAAAGAAAGAATAGCTGGGGGCCTGTTCTGAGACCTCAGGCTGGTTGCTGGGTAAGCAGGGCTTCTGGTGGAGTGAAGGGCAGAGAATGCAGCTGGGCAGCTGGGTCTTGAACGGTCTTTGAGGCAGACCTTGGCGCTAGCGATAACCTGGCTTGTGCAGTAACCCATATGAAGAGCAATATTTGCACATGTGTCCATTTAGCTGTTTTCCCCACACATCCTCTGACCCTTCCCCCTGTTGGGGCCTTCCAGTAAGAGGCCCGAGCTTACAGGAAGCGCTGACCATGGCAGGTTGAAGGCCTTTCCTTATCAGCACTATGGCTATACATTTCCCCTGACTGAGCTGCCCTTGGCTTTTTTCCATAAAACCTCAGAAGCCCCGCGGTCTGTCCTCTGAAGTACATGGCCCCTGGGTCTTTAGGCCTCATATGGAATTTTCCCTGGGGCAGAGTGCACGCGACCTGTGCAGACCAGACCTGTGCGTGGGAAGGAGACTTTGCCCTCTGGCTTTCTGCTGCCTCTCTGCTTCCAGCCTAGCTTGGACAGGGACAGGTGGCAATTGCTCTGGGCTCTGGTGAGAAGGCTGCAGATTGTAACTTCCTACCACACATTGAACAGTTGAAGGAGCACATAACTGAGGGTGGGAGTTGGAGGGGGGATTGTAGACCTAGGGGACACTGTCACTCCTTGACCCTGACTTTTTGCTAGGCATTAAGCTGGATTCTTCAGGTTCATCTGTAAAGTTGGGATTACTACCCCATGAGACAGTTGGGAAGATTGAGGCTCAAGAAAGGGAAATGACATGCTTAGGTCATTAGAGGCAGAGCTGGCATGGGAACCCAGAGGTGCCAAAGGACACATTCTTTCCATGGCCCTAGGAAAGCCCTAGCTTTTTAGTTTATCTCTCAACTGGCTGGGTGACCTCAGCTGTATTCCTTGATCTCTCTGGGCCTTACTTCCTCCAACGCAGAGCCTGTGGCCCTCTACTGTTGGGAATCCTGAAGCAGGTGGCTTTCTACCCTCTGTTTTGCCTCTGAGGTCTGGGTGTCCCCAGTGTGAACCACTATCCACTACTTGTGCCCAGTTCTCTCCCACCACCCGTACTGGGGACTTGTGAGCATCAGCGAAGGCTTGGGTGGAATGGAAGTGGGAGCCTGAGTTCCAGAGGTATCCTGTGGTCCACCCTGCCCCTGCTATGCTCAGATAACCTCCTCCTGGAAACGTGAGTCTGCATCTCTCCTCCTTCCTTCTCCGCATATGCTTTGACTCAGCAAAACCTCTGGCCCTGGCCTCTGTGGGCAAAGTGGAGGCCACAGTGTGTGTGTCTGCATGGGCCATGGAGAAGCAGATAGGGGTGGGGGGGAGGTTACAGCAATGAGGCCCAGAAACATTAGCCAGGCCCACTCCTCTGGGCCTTTTTGTGTTGGAACATGGGCCATCAGCATTGGAGAGATGGATCGTAGATCAGTGTAGACTGTTTTATAAGTGGGCAAACTGGGACCTCAAGAAAAAGTCAGGGCCCTATTATCTAGGTCACACAGGCAGGTGTCAGACCATTGGTGTTTGAGGTTGAAGAACCAGGCCAGAAGGAGAAGGTCTTCATGCCAGCTTCCATTGGTCTTTGCCCTGCCTCCATCAATCTTTCCATCTTTGCCATGGGAGTCCTTGAGTAGAAGAGCAGGCATCCCAGAGACCAGGCTATTGAGAGGCTAGGGTTCCGCTGTCTCCCCACTGAGTCTTTGGTCTTTGAGGTAGTTGGAGCCACTGTCCAGGTGTGCACCACAGCTGCTTGACAGGCAGGCGAGGCTTTTTCCCCGACTCATCTCCTCAGTGGGGCCGGGGTTGCCACTGGGCCAGGAGGAAGTGGGAACAAACCAGGTCCCTGTCTCCCTGTGCTGCTGTGTGTACACATTTGTGTGGTTTGTTTTTAGATTTCCTGCAGACACCAAGCTTCCTTTTCTGTTCTCAGCGGAACTTGCTGGGGCTCTCTTAGCAGGCAGCAGGCAGGCAGGCAGTAGCCTGTTAGGGAGGCACTTGTCAGGTGCCTCTAAAACCAATGGTAGGGCCCTGTGCATAAGCTCCTTTAGATAGTCCAGGCTTTCCTGTCTTGCTTCTCCACATAACTACTCGACTACATTTTAGGGAACCTGAGGAGGTTTAGAGACCTTCTGCAGCAGTGGAGGGAGGCTGAGGCAAGTCCGTTGGTGCTATTGGCTCTTCTCCCCTCCCCCCAACCCCTGGCAAAGGCTAGGAAGGAGGGGTCAGGGTCCTCAGTTTGCACAGCCTTGCATCTTGTCCAGCATCTGGGTGACAAGGGCATCTGCTTGTGGAATATGATAGTTGTCTGTAGTTGCGAGGGTTGTTGTGAGGGAATTTGGCCTCGGGGAACATCTTTGGCAGGATCTGCCGGCTCTGTGTGTGTGCGCATGTACATTTCTCGGCTGGTGACTGTATGCTCAGAGAGGGGACAGAAGGGGGGATCTGAGGAGGTGAGGTTCATGCTGACATCTGTGGCCTTAGTGAGGGGTACAACCCCTGATATTTGTAATCTCTGCCCACTCCCAGGCCTTTCCAGCTGATTCCTGCTTGTGCTGGTGGGGAAACTGAGGTAGACAGAATCAGGCCTGGCCTCTGAGTCAGGTGGTTAAGGTGATAGCGGGATTGGAGTGGTGGTAATGTCATCTTGGGTGTCAGTGCTTGAAGTCCGTCCTTGAGAGCCTGGCCTCCCCTTCACCCTCCCAAATGTGTGACCTTGGGCCAGCTGTGCCACATTTCTGTACCTCAGTATCCCCCCTGTGTAAAGTCAGGTTTTTGGGGGTGAGGATAGAATGAGTTGGAATGTAAAAAGGCTTTGAGGGAACCAATTACAGTGCTGTATCGAGGGTTTCTGGGTTCTGTTTGGGTTGGGGACAGAGGTGAGGTAGTGGGGAACCCTCTTCCAGCTGGACTCTGGGAGGGGAGAGCAGGTGCGGACTGCCCGCAAATGCAGCGTCAGCAAGAGGGGGAGTTTCGGTTTCTATCAAAACAAGTTCTCTGAATTCCCCTACCTCTGCAAGTCCATTGGGCCCTTTCTCCCACCTTGGCCCCCACAGGGAAGTCCAGCCCAGCCCCTAGCTCCTGTGCCAACCTTCTGGGAGGAGGAAGGCTTTCAGGAGGACAAAGGCAGGACTAGCAAAGTCAGGCAAGAGCCTCCTCAATGACTTCCTGTGTTCTTAGGCAACTCTGGGTATTTTTCCCACCTCATATCATCGAAAAGATCCTTCTACTCTCCCTTGTTGGGGAGGTACTATTGCTTTGTGTCCTTGGTCCTGGGGAGCATATTTTCTTCCACAGTAATCCCTAAACTAGGGTGCATCTTATAATCAGTGAGTTTGGTCATTCCCCCCCTGCAGCTGTGATTAAATACATGTATTATATCATCTATCAATGCATCTTAGGATTGAGGAGAAAAGGTCATATTTTGCATGTGACTGCTAAGTAGAGAAGGTCATACTTTGCCCACATTTAAGGACCCTGTTATGTGAAGCCTATACTATTGATTTGACATTAATTTGGTTACTAAAGATTTACAGTACGATTACAGAAGGTGGGTCCGTGGCCCTTTGGCGTCATAAAGGTCGAGTGCCAGTCCTGCGTACACGTAGGGCAGCCTAGACTCTGGGTTTGGGGCTTTCCTCTGGCTGAGGAAGTACAACAGAAATGAGGAAGGGCTTAATAAGTGGTTCCGGTGACATTCTAGCTGACTTGTGGGTAGCTAGCTACCTGAAGGCGTCATCATCTTCCTCATGACAAACGGAGCCCCGTCTCTTCAACACCTACTATGCCTCAGACGTTTGGCAAACCATCCCCTGTAGTCTTTACAGCGCCCATGAGAGGAAGAGGAGTTACTCTCTCCACCTATGGATGAGGACACTGCAGCCCAGAGAGTTTAAGGGTCTTGTCCAGTACCACACAGCTAGGAGGCAGCAGAGCCTTACTGCCAAGGCAAAGGGGTCAGTGGCAGGGAAATGTGGGGACCCTCAAGGGGTTCTCCCCCCAACTCCCTTCCCTGTCCCACGGTCTCCCTCGTTCCTCTGTTTTCTTGCATCCAGCATGTAGCTCAGGAAATGCTGATTGACCCTTCCCCAGAAACAGCTCAGCCCTCTCCCTGAGCCTGGCAGGCCAGTCTCCATTTAACCCCTTCACTCCCATCTCAGTTCCTGTTTACTGCAGCTGCCCACAGCACTGCCTCCTCCGCACCCAGGCCCATTCTACAGAAATAGCTTGTCAAGCAGCTCTGGCAGGCAGGCAGCCGCAGTGGGCTCTGTGGTACTGGCTTCTAAGAAAGGCAGCAGCAGGGGGCCCCCAGCCTGTGCA